TGCTGCTGCTGCTGCTGCTGCTGCTGCTGCTCCCCCTCCAGCTCCAGCAGCACCCATAGATCCTGCTGCTGCAGATGCTGCTCCGCCCCCGAGCGAGCCAGCAGCAAAAGGACGCTTCTGCTGCTGCTGCTGCTGCTGCAGGTCGAAATCTTTTTTTCGTTTTTTTCTCGTTGCTGCTGCACTGCGCTTTGTTTCCAGGTTTGTTGCGTGGGTTTGCTGCTGCTGCTGCTGCTGTTGCTGCTGCTGCAACTGCTCGTGTTGCTGCTGCTGCGCATCCGGCACAGCTGCTGCTGCTTGCCTGCTGAGGTGTATAGGCAGCTGCAGCAAATAAAACGGTTGCCCTTTAGGGGGCGGGGGGGGCTGGGGGAGCGACAGAAACGTCCGCGGCAGCAGCAGCCCCTGCAGCCCCTCATCCTCCTCGCTGCTGCTGCCGCTGCTGCTGCTGCTGCTGCTGCTGCTGCTGCTGAAGCACCACTGCAAGGCTGGAGGGGGCAGGCGGCAGGGGAGAGCAGAAAGGGGAGCGAGGGGGAAGCTGCAGGGGTAGTGGGGTTTCTGGTTGCGCAGCAGCTGCCGCAGGCCCTTCACAGCAGCAGCAGAGCTGAGCTGCAGCAGCTGCTGCGTTGTAAGTGCTGCTGCTGCTGCGTCAGTGGGGCCGTCAGCAGCAGCTGCTGCTGCTGCTGTTGCTGCTGCGCTGCTTCTACTCCTTGCAAACCCCTTTGCGCTGCCACGACGAAGACCAGCGGAGTGCTTCGCCTGCTGCGTGGCTTTCTCAGCAGCATATTCAAATCCACCTGCTGCTGCTGCTGCTGCTGTTGCTGCTGCTGCTGCTGCTGCTGTTGCTGCTGCTGCTGTACAGTTTGCTTCAGCTTCTTGTGTCTCATGTTTCATCCCGCTGCTGTCCTCCGCAGCAGCAGGATCCCTGCTGCCTTCTGCCTTTCCACCACCACTACCACTACCACTGCCGCTGCTGCTGCTGCTGCTGCTGCTGCTGCTGCTGCTGCTGCTGCTGCTGCAGGGGGGGGGCTCTGGGTGCGCATCGAGCAGCGCGAGGGGTTCTTTGTGCGGCAGCTCAAGGACCCCAGCCAGCAGCTCGTTTGCTTTTCGTTGCATCACAGCAGCAGCTTTATATTGTTTAGTGTTCGGCATATATAAAGTTTTTACGTTTTGTATGAGCAGCGCAATATCTCCTAAGAACTCCCCCAAAGAACTATACCCACTACTGCTGCTGCTGCTGCTGCTGCTGCTGCTGCTGCTGCTGCGGAGCTTCTGTGCTACCATAGAAAGACACATGGGCCGCTGCACCACACGCCAGTATAAAGAAAAAGATGCTGCAGGCAAAAAAGAAAAATCCCCCGTTCTGTCTTGCGCCATCAACTCCGCCACTATGCGTTCATACCGCTGCCGCCGCGACGGAGACCGACAAGAGGGGCACCTGAGCAGCACCAGCAGCAGCAGCAGCAG